TTTTGCTTATGTGGTGCTGAGGAATCGAACCCAGGGCCTCATGCATGCAAGGCAAGCGCTCTACCACTGAGCCACCTTCCCAGCCCTGTCTCTTAGCTTTTTGCTGAAGGTTGACACTCTACCATTTGAGCCACAGCTCTACTTCTAGCTTTTTGGTGGTTAACTGGAGATAAGAATCTCACAGATGCCGGGCCTGGTGGCTCACGCCTGTAATCCTAGCTACACAGGAGGCTGAGATCTGAGGATCTCGGTTCAAAGCCAGCCATGGCAGGAAAGACCGTGAGACTCCTATCTCCAATAAACCACCAGAAAACCGGAAGTAGTGCTGTAGCTCAAGTGGTAGAGCGCTGGCCTTGAGCTGAAGAGCTGAGGGGCAGCGCCCAAGCCCAGAGTTCAAGCCCCAGGACGGACCAAAAAAAAAAAAGAATCTCACAGATTTTCCTGCTTGGGCTGGACTGAGTCTAAGCTACAATCCTTAGACCTCAGTCTCCTGAATAGTTCAGACTACTGACCTGAGCCATCACACTGGGCTTGGCAGCCTTTAGAGTGGCGGGTGGGATTCTGATGGTCCCAGATTTTCCTTTCTTTTTTCTTTTTTTTTTGGCCGGTCCTGGGGCTTGAACTCAGGGACTGGGCACTGACCCTGAGCTTCTTTTGCTCAAGGCTAGAGCTCTACCACTTGAGCCACAGCACCATTTCTGGCCTTTTCTGTGTATGTGATACTGAGGAATTGAACCCAAGGCTTCATGCATGCTAGGCACGCACTCTACCACTAAGCCACCTTCCCAGCCCGCACTGAGCGTCTTTTGGTTCAAGGCTAGCACTCTATCACTTGAACCACAGCACCATTCCAGCTTTTTCTGTGCATGTGGTACTGAGGAATTGAACCCAGGGCTTCATGCATGCTAGGCAAGCACTCTACCACTAAGCCACCTTCCCAGCCCTGATCTCAGATTTTCTAGATTCAGGTCCCCTTTCAAGTTTCAAGTTCAGGTCCACCTTTCAAGTTGTGGGCACTTTCCCTAGGGTGCATGTTTGCCTGGTGGGATTGGTGGATTTGGCTCGGGGGCTCTGTGTAGGGAGTGAAGGTGATAGATTGTAGGGAAGGGCTGATGGTCAGACGATGTCTGAGGCTGGACCCGTCTCTCAGCGCATCTGAACACATTTTCCACTCAACTGCCTCACCACAGGCAGCTCCTAAGGTCAGTTAAGACTGGAGCTCAATAAAATACTTTCAAACATTTCTAAGACAGATTGGGAGCCACCATGGATGGGACCCGTCATCTGCTAAGTTCTCACTAGGCGCCCTCTGCAGCCCACGTCGGGCCCCTTGTGGAGCTCAAGCACCAGCTTTCCCAATAGCAACTTCGGGCCTGAGAAGTTGAATTCTTTCCAAGTGCATTTCCAACCTCAGTGCCCTGGCTGCTATAGATGGGAGAGTTGGGTTCTAAAAAACAGTGATGCTCGGTGGGGGTGGCTCACACCTATCATCTTAGTTACTTGGGAGGCTGAGATCTGAGGATCAAGGTTCAGAAAAGTCCGAGTTTTTTTGTTTTTTCCAGTCATGGGGCTTGAACTCTGGGCCTGGGATGTCCCTCAGCTCTTCAGCTTAAGGCTAGCGCTTTACTACTTTAGCCCCAGCGCCACTTCTGGTTTTCTGGTGGTTTATTGGAAGTAAGAGTCTCATAGACTTTCCTGACTGGGCTGACTTTGAACTGAGATCCTCAGATCTCAGCCTCCTGAGTAGCTAGGATTACAGGCGTGAGCCACCAGCGCCCGGCTGAGATCCATGTCTTAATCAGAAGATATTCACCTCTCAGAAACTGTCTGCAAGACACAGATTCTCAGAGAGGACAAAGGTGCTAGTA